TGAATTAATAAATCCATAGACTGATATGGTAATTAGCTGAAGTTTGATTTGAAGTTTTCACTATATAATATTTGATCTATGTATGTGGTTAATGGAGAAGCATTTGATTAAGTACATTGACAAGGAAGAATACTGTGTTGAAAAATGAATATCTGTTTTGCAAAATAAATGCTTTTTTTCATCATTAGACTTGCTTATCAACTTTTATGTGCACTTCAACGTGATCTAATGGTTACCAAGCTTTTCTTGCTAGATCAATTACAACTGAATAGTGAGTTTGATCCTCACTGAGTGCTCTATACTTTCGGTCTTGTGCCACATCTAAGCTACACTTAGAAAGTCACACACACACACACACACACACACACACACACACACACACACACACACACACACACACATATAGAAAGAGAGAGAGATAGGTATATTTACTCATATATGTTGTACCCATTTGTATATTTTTGCATATTTGTTGGAAAAATTATAAACTACTCAGTTTAAACATGTGTATATAAGAAATTTTTGTAGGACATGGAAATACTTGAAAAATGTTTTCTGAAGGTTCATAAAAGGAATTAAAACTTCTCAGGAGAAAGGTAAATTGAAAAAGTGCCTTTTTGCATTGGCTTTTAATTTTCTGAACCTCCTTTTCATCAAACTGGGACATTTCCCCCCATACTCCTTTTATTTTTCTCTTTCTTTGTATTTCCCTGTTTCGAAAGAGATGTCTTTGTGTACTTACTTGCATGTTATACGGGTGCTCCCCTCTCTCTTAGCCAGACAACCCATGTGTATATGTGTAAGTGCGTATGTGTACGTGAAATACTTTATATGTGTGACCCTCCTGCCTATAAAAAGAAGGAACCTTAACCCTGAATTTCAACCCATGCAATTTTTTTTCCTGGACACGTGGTTATAGAGTGTACCCCCTCGCACACACCTTTTTCAAAACTTTCCTTTAAATTCTATTGTTGTCATGCCATTGGCATCATGCACCACTGTTATTGTTTAGTCGTATTTGAATTTTAATAAAAGATATTTAAATAATGTTATTTCTGAAGGAGTATTATTACTATTTTTGGCCTTTTCCATAACGCTTACAATTATTTTTCTTTTTTCGAAAACAAAAGAAAACTTTTTTTTTATTATTGAAATTAAGGCGGATTCACATTGGCTAATTAACCATCCGTAGCCTGTAGTTGTGAGTTCGATCTTTACTAAGTACTCTGAGTAACTCTATAATTGTAACCTTGTGCCCGACTAAGCTTAGTAACGATTCACGATTCATTCTGTCTATTTCTTGGAAGTATTTTAAAATTAAACTTTACACATCTCATCTTTCAATCTCGCTATATATGTACTACTACTCGTGCATTTTATGTATTTGTTATGCTTGGTTGTGTCTGCTCAGCAGCACACGCTGTATACAGCAAGATAAACATATCAAAAAATGTCTAATTACGATGGCAACTTTAATTATTTTCTTTTTAGAACATCATGTGAAATGAATAAAAAATATTATGAGTGCATAACTGGTCTTGCTTGACTTTTCGTTTATTTTGTGTTACTGTTAAATCGATTAATAAATCCCTTTCCATGTGTGTGTGTGCGTTATTGTGTAAAAAAGTGAACACTGTATCGAAAAAAAATTGTTTTTTTTTTGTTTGAACATATTCATTGTTCACACGTAATTTGATAATTGTCAAGTCTGCTCTTTCTCATTCTCTCAAAATATGTGTATCATTCGTTCTGTGAAATGAATTTCAGTTGTCCATTATTTGTGATCGGCTACTTGAATGTTGTTAATAATGTTTATTGGCTACCCGCTTTTTTTCTTTACACACACACACACACACACACACACACAATCGATTTGCCTCATCTAACATATCAGCCTCTCTCTCTCTCTCTCTCTATCTCTCTCTCTTTGTAGTGTATAAAAAAGGGGAAAAGCACCTTGACCTAAACTTAACCGCTTTCTTTAAGTGTACATGAGTGTGTATATGTGAGTGCTTAGCTTACGTTTTTTAGAAAAAAATAGGTAAAAAGAAATTTAACAGTGACCTCATATTATATTCTGGTTACGTCATAAATTATATTTTGTTTGTATGGAAGAACTTTTTTAATACCTTGCCTGATAGTTTTTCTTGTAAAACTTTCCTTTATTTCTTTTATTAGTGGCAATAAGGGAAAATGTATGAAGATAAATTAATAATTTTGAAATGAAGAGTACACGTGCTTTTCATGTGCAAAGAAAGCGACTTCAATGACTTCTCGAGCATACTTCGTAAATAAATTAATATACAATATTTTTTTTTTTTTAGTCAGGTACACATGTGGATGGTAAATATTGAAACAAATTATAAAGTTTTTAAGTATTAATAGAAGACTTTTTACAAGTTTTTTTTTTTAATCTTTTGTCTCCAACTCTTCACGTAAAGAAAGCTCTTTCCTCTTCATCGAAACATTTGCGGCATTGTCTTGTACAGTAAAAATAATAAAATCGTTATTTTCCATTCATACCGCGGGATTCTCTCTCTCTCCTTTATCTTGAACTTTGAGATGTGTGTGCGTGTCCACACACACAACAAACACATACACAAAAGAGGAAATCAATGGTGTTTTAAAATTTTCTTTGACCCCATGTCTCCTGTTTCTAACTTTTTTACTTTTTGGTCATTGCAGATATAGACCAAAGATTCATGTGCATATTGGTACAGTCTATTTGACTGCTTACACTTTTTGCATGATTCTTCTTACCACCCCCCCCCTAAAAAATAAAGTATTGCCACCGTCATCGTCCCATAGCTGATTTTCGTTTTTGACAAAATAACATCAAGGACATTATTCATGGACAGGTGACAAAAAAATCTAATAAAATAAAATATTACGAAAGTGTGTAGGAAAAAACGCGATAGGAAAACTATTTTCGAAGAGAAAGAAGAAATTGTAATAAAGCTTTTGAAAAAATAGTTTGTTTATTTTTAAGTGGTTTACTGATGGTAAGTTGCGTAAAATTAAAAATGAAAGGCTATATACACAATAGAACACGGTACACAGCGTTGACATGGTGGTACGATTATAATTATTATTTAATGCTCTTGAAGGCCTTTTTCGCGATAAATCTTAAACCATTCCTTATCAAATTTCAACCATAATCTTTTCCTATCATCATCCATTATTTTCAAACCTTTTTTTGTCTCATAATTTGTACTGAAACCGACTTTATACACGTGTTCATTTCGATGACAATCAACGTTGTTAGTGTCAGTGTCATGGCTGAAGTGAATGTATCTGGAGGTGATAATTTATTCTTATACTGTCGTAGTTAGTATATATTAAAAAAAAAAAAAACCGAGTTCGATCCTCATTGGGTGCTCCATGAATAAGATTTTGTAAGCAAGTTAAAGTTCAAGTTAGTCATTTTGATGTTTTGTGTCAGCGTGTGATTATATTTTGTTGTATACATTCAAATGCCCCATTAGTATTTAATTTTGTTTTTTGTTAGTTACACTAAACACACTAGTAACTACCCTCTCCAACTCCATTTTTATTTTTTAGTCAATAAACACAACAAACCGATTTTCTTTCTTTATTTATTTATTTTGGTGTTTCTATGCCTTCAGAAGTAAAAGTTATAGAAATCTTAAGCAAAAGTTATTTTATTATTTATTTTTTGAACAATACTGTTATTGTTTAAATCTAGCTAGTTACTTAACTTCGCGCATAGAGTAGATTTTACAAGCACAAGTTTTAACCTACTCGGTACTTTGGAACTAAAAGTCGCTAGGTCAGATTTCAGCAAAGTGCCATGTGAGTAAATCTTTTAGAAAATTATTTTGATCGTCTATCTTCACGCTTAAATAAAAATAAAAATCATATCTATAAATTATTTCTTTTTTACTCGGGTTATTTATGGTAAGGTAGTTTCATTTTACTATTATTATTATTTTGTTTTTCTTACAGTTGGTCACTTTGAATAGAGTTTGTCTTTCTAAAATAAAACAATGACAAAGATAGAGTACAATTTACTAAATGATCAATACTGTACAATGTACATCATGTTTTACATGGGTGTGATCCAAACAGACAAAAAAAAAAAAAACCCCAAAAAACAAAAGGTATGCATGTGTATATTAAATATTCTTTTATTTTATTTTTTTAAAGGATAAAACAAAGTTTATTATCCTGAAATCTGTAAGTGTCTATTGTTGGTTTAGTTAGTTATTTTTTAGCTCATTTCATGATACCGAGTATTGAATATGCCGCACACCAGTGAATGCAAATTTGATAAGTTTTGACATGGAGTATTTATTGAAAAAAAACAAAAACATGAACCATTAGTCCTCCTGTATGTGTGAAAATTATTTCTGATGGGATTTAGGATCAAATTAGTTTGGAAAGTAAGGTCTCTTAATTACAAAATTAAAGCATTTTTAAAAACACACGGAGAATAATTAGTTACGACGACATAACTATCCCAGCATAAGTTGGAAAAGGTGTCCACAGATGGAAAAGGAAAAGAGATCCTTTGTCTTTTTAGTTAGATCAATTTATGTTTTCTTTTAGATTCATTTATCTTATTCAAATAAATTTTTATTATGAATTCATAAAAGGAAAGGATGAAAATTTATTATTCTTTAACAATGTTACCTTTTTATTAAAAAGTTTACATCTTTCTTTCTCTCTCTCTCACACACACACACACACACACACATTGGTCCACCTCCAAATTCCATAAACGATATTTTTCTTTTATCTTTCTTAAAAAAATTATTTGATTTTTTTTTTATCCTCTGTCATATAAAAAAATTCTGATTATTTTTGTCGGCAGTAGTTTTTTTTTTTTTTTTTAATATTTCACAATTCAATGGATATTATTAATTTTCATCTGTTTATAAATATGCACTTACAATAATAAAAAAAAAATATTATAAACTAAATCTTCCATCAATTTTGTTCCTTGGATATTCTTTTTTGTTTTTTTTGTGATTTTGTAGGTCCACTCACAACGAATTGGAAAAGAATCGGTAAGTTTATCAGTTATTTTTATACTTAATTCTATTCATCCTATAAAACTATCAGTCATTAATTTATAATAATTATCATTCTCCAATTTTTAGCTTTTTTTTTTTTTTTTTTTATCTGTGCACAGATTTATCACCTAAACATTTTTTACCGTTGTCTGTTTTTTTAGTGAAACTCGTCTCTATTGCTTGCTGAGGGTCTGCCCTCCCCACTTTTCTTTTTTATTAAAAAGTATTTTCTTTATTTTATCAACTGTGCTATTCTCCTCAGTTTCTGATGTGTACCCTGCTTTCCATACCCATTGTCTGCGGCCCTCCCCCTCTCAGCCATGTATGTTTATGTTTTCAATATAGTTCTGAAGTTCGTGTCCCAAAACAAAGTGAAGTTCTTTGTCTTTCAGTAAATTAATTCTGCGACCTTCCAGATCTGTTCATCTGTTCATCAATGTATATTTTATACTCAAAGGTGATCTATGTTTTCAAATTCTTTTAAAAAATATTTCCAGAATAGGTGTTATTTGGTTGAAAATAGGCTCCAGTGTGTGATATGCATTTGCGTTTTTATCAAACAGTTTTTTTTATGCATGACTACAGTTACAGCTTTGTTGAGGACTTAATTTTAGGGCCTAAAGCTTTTTTTCTCCCTCTTGAATTTTGAAATAATTATTTCAGTTCATTGTGTATTGGCAACTGTTTTTTTTTGTTTTTTTTTTCACCAGCTGTCAATATCTTTCCCACCCTCCCTACCATCTTCAAGTTTGTATGAACCTTATGTTCCTCCTTCCATTTTTGTTTCAAGCAAGACCCTTTCTCTACACATCTTTTTTCTCCTTTTTTTTTTAATATCTTTTGTTGTTATTCGGGCTGTCTTTTAATTTCACTATCTTACACTTCTGTTCTACCAGTGTACTGCACACATTGGCCTTTTCTACTGTACAAGTACATACGGCCACAAAGTCACTTATCGTATTTATTTACTTTACTTCATCAGCTACCGACCGCGTTTATTACCGAAATATGGAGGTTCCTCTATCTTATTACTCCCCCCCCCCAAATCATTCAGTGTATGCTTTAATAAATTACTTGTTTTTGTATGTTTCCATAATAAATCACTGTTCTCATTTTGAACTACTTATAAGTTACCAGGTGTTCAAAAATACGTCCATTATATTTTTTAAACTAAAGTAAATTAACTTTCATTTTTGGAACAGCCATTTTGGGACATAAAATAGAAAAACTGACTTTGTAAGAACTGTATTGTTATTTTTTTGACTGCAGTAACAAATTTAATTTCTATTAGAGAAATAAAATTAAAAAAAATATAGATCAAGTGAAAATTTATACTTACATTTTATATCTATAATAAATTGACAATTGCAATGTTTCTGTTTTTTTTAGTTATTGAAATGTTCGATACTAGTGTTAAAAATGTTCCCTTTTTGATTGATTCTATCATTTCCTTCTCCTTTCTCTCTCTCATCAATAAAATGCTCAGTTTCACCACCTACCACACAAAAAAAAAAAACAATTCTACGAACTGAAATATATCCTCCTTGTCATTTGTCCTTGATCTTTTTTCTTTTTCCTTCCTTTGCTATCTTTTACCACCGTCCTAGCAACTCATTTCTACAGCTGCCACTGTTGTTGTCATTGTAGTTGACATCATTGTCATCAGTTATTACCTTATTCCATTTATCAAAGATATTAAACTAGAAAATGCAATTCATTAGCTTGTCTTATTGCTTTCCAATAGAAATAATTTAAAAGATGCAAAAGAACTTTAAAAATATAATTACAATTTTTTTTTTATTTGAGTTGCAAATTGCAATGTTTTTTTTTATGGTAATAGGGATCACTTCTTGATTGCATTGTTATTCAGGTTTGCAATAGAAAACATTTGTAAACATTTTTTAAACATTTGTAATTATCCTTATGCCTACTTGCATATTAACAATCAGAATTTACAAAAATTACATCATCCAGCTTTCTAAGCAGATGTGTAAATGATGACAATTTCATTTGTTATAAATTTGCAGTTTACTAACTTGAATTCTAATATGAAAAGAATTTGTGATGTTTTAACAATATAAATTTTAAAGGATCCTATTTATAGTAGTGTAATAATTAACTTTGCAATATCATTTATTTGAGAAGCCTATATTACTAAACTGCTAAGGAACTTGTTGAGTTTGAAATCATAACTTTGACCTTGTGATCTAAAAATCAATATTAACTTATAATTGTTTTCCTTGAAAAACTATCACAAACAATATGCTTTGGCCAGTTATAAGACTCATATGAAACTGATAATTTGGTTGTATCAGCATGTGAAATATCTATTTTCTTCAAGAAAAAAATCTTTACTCAGAATGATGATAGTTGATCAGAGAACTAGACAACAATAATGTAATAAGGAACAAATATATTTAAATGCAGCAGAATTTTTTATATATTATGAGATAATCAACAACAATTTGGGAAAAGTACTTAATTAGGTTATCACAACATTATTCTCTTTATATTTTTATTATTCCAATATTAATAATAAATAATTAAAATATTAATATTGTGACTATTGCATTGGTGAATAATATGATAAATTATTTGAGTGGCCATTCATGGCATCATTAATTCAATAAGCTACTTTCTTGTTACTCACAGCTGTATAATAAATAACAAACTCACTTTAGTTGACAAGTAAACCTACCATTATAAACCTGAAACTGTAAGCATTGAGAACTGCCAACCTGGTTTTTAACACCCAACCATTCCTTGATTACTGCTACTGTCCTCTGCTCTGCCAACAGACTTACAATGTGCAATGAATATAACATTAATAAATAGAACATAGATCACAGCATTTCTTACCCACTACCACCTCCAATCCAAGTCAGTACTTACAGATTGCCTTGTTAACTATATACCTACATGTTGTCTCAAGCACATTGCCTTACTTGATTTATTTGTATTTGCCCTATGCAAAGGTGTTGGTTACAGCTTAAAAACATCACAGGCTTCTGTGAAACTTTCCACATATGTATGTATCTCTCTCACTCTCTTCTACACACACACACACACACACAAGTATGTACATGTCCTTTATGGATTTAATCCATTTTTTATAATTTCTACTTCTTCAGATAAATGATCCTTATTTGTTGTACATCTTATAATCTATTCTGAGGTTTAAAGCAATACCGATGAAAGCAGATACTTATTTCATAAATTACATATTTATCAACATTTTAATTATTTCAAAATCTATTTAAAAATGATCAAATAGTAAACTGTTCTTTAATTATTAACAGTACACACACATTCATGCACACTGAATTGTTAAACAAGTATGTGTCTCAGAGTCCAGTATGCAAAACTGAAAAAGTTTATACGACATATGGAAACAATATAGGTGCTCAAGTTTGCTTAAGTTCAGTTTATGTACTCATTTTTTCCTACTTTCTTTCTGTGTCTTTTTTCTTTTTTTTCTAATATGTCCCATCTTACTACTGTTGTTTGTTCTTAAGCAGCTGCAACAGTATAACCAATACACCAACCTGTTCAGCCACTACTTCAGTTGGTTACCAACCAACAGTGGCACATAATACCAAACACTTTTTCACACCCACACACATGCACATTATTAAACATTCCCTCTTTTTTTGCATGCACATGCATGTACACACATGCCCCCCTCCACACACACGATAGAACGTGAAGAGCAAATGCCACCTCTGCTTTCTCTACTTCTCTAAGAAATATAATATATAAACATAACAAATCTAACATAGAAACAGGGTTGCATGCTTGCTTGATTTAGACTGCAGCATCAGGCTATGTAAGAACCACTACCAGCAGCAGTAGTAGTCATAATAACATTAGTAAGAGTAGCAGTAAGATTTTATATGGACCCAACCCATGATGTTGTTCAGAGCATCATATAGGTCTATCTCATTAGTTTCAGCTTTCTTTCTTTTTAATTCTTCTTATATTCATGCTTCAAAGCATCAGATTATACCTCTCAAAAATTGCTGAATGTTGCCGATCTACTTGAATACTTCTGTGATCTTTGCTTGTCATTATATATTTCCTTTTTGAAAAAGTATTAGTTTGATATTAGTCTGTAGTATCACATCTAAAACAACATTAGACAGAATAAAGCACCTGTGGATTTTTCCTTAATGCTTAAGATAAATGGTTTTGGGTTATGTCCTAGGTTTCAGCTTAATCATTTTTCTTGCACACTGTAGAGAAGAAATACTGCTGTTTAACTGAAAGAGAATGTTGTTTCCTTTTTTATGGTCAGTTTTACATGATTTGTGGTAACTCAGTGTATAATAATGAATTTGCAAAAAATTATTTACTCATGCTTTAATTCTTTTAAAGTCCATCATATTGTTTATCTAGAACTAATGAATATCAATTTGGGAAAACTATATTTTTTAAATCCCAAGATAAAAATTTTCTCTTAGAATCATTTTATTCTTTGAAAACACCTGATATTCAACTAAAATAAAATCTGTATTACCACTGAGTAATCTCTTAATCGTTTTGTTTCTAAAGCCACATGTATTATAATGGTAAAAGACTGTTGAAATGTTAGTGACACATTAGCTATTCTCTAATTATTCTAATTATCTCTTCTAGTTCCATGTTTTATGACATGGAAATTAAAGTCATAAAAAAGTACAACTACTCCTATGGAAATTAAGTAAGTTCTTAAGCCTGAGCTGATGCTTTCTCTCTCATTAAGTTAATAGCAACAGGCAAAATAGGACCTTCAGATTGAAGATTATCATCTTCACAGTCAATTTTGTCAGCTGACAGCCTTACTATCCATGCATTATTCCTGTTCTCAGGAAACAGATTCTTTCACTATAATCATTTTTCGATGGGCAAAATACAGACGACTATTTTACACTTTTATCCATAATTCATACAAAATAAATTTGTGTATGTTTTGCATCAAACAGCTTGAAGTAATTCTATAGAATATGGCTGACACA